GTCACCTATTACGAGATCTTAGTCGTCTTTCGCCTGTTGCACTCACTACTATCTAGCCCAGTCAAGTGGTTTTCGGAAGGGTGTGAGCACCATTTCGGGGAACCTTCCATCAGTTTAGGAAGGCTTCGACCATCTTCTTTCTTTTTCATTTTTCTGTTTTCTTTTATATAGTTTTCATTTATTTACTTTTTATTTTTATTTTTATGTTCATCCAATAAAAAATATTATTTTGTACCCCTTTTAACTTTTTAGAATACATGTCAACATTTAAACACATGATCTTCATTTTTATTACAGACGCTGAACTCTTTTTGGTACACGTTAAAAAAAATTCAAATACTTGTTTGAATTTTTAATACAAGTTAAAAAAATAAAGTACAGATCAAAAATATTTTAAATACATGTTAATTATATTTTTTTTCAATACATGTGAAACAGTTTTCAGATATACCATGAATTCCTTTTTCAAAAATACATGATTTTCAAGTAAAAATTTAACCTTTTTTTAATACACATTGTATTTTTTAATATACACGCTGAACAGTTTTTTATACATGCTGAACATTTTTTAAAAAATAAGATGACATTTTTTAACAAATACATGTTTGAACATTTTTCTGAATACACATTAAACATTTTCCGAACACATGTTGAACATTTTTAATACACGTTGAACATTTGAAAAATACATGTGAATCATTTTTCGTATAGAACTTGAATTTTTTTTCAAAATACATTATGAACATTTTTTTTCAAATAGATACTGAACATTTTTTTGATTACCTGATGTACATTTTTCGTATAAGCGCTGAAATTTTTATATACATAATGCATTTGATTATTTTTTTATAAAATACATGTTTAATTTCTTTGAGTACTTGTTGAAAATTTTCCAAATAATCTTGAACATTGTTTTAATACATGTGAAATATTTTTCCTGGATTATACGGAGATTTTCTAAAAATTACACAAACAACTTTTTTTTCACAACATGGACATTTTTCCAATATGCGATGGACGCTTTTGAAAAATTAAGTACGTTAATTTTTTGAATATATGTATTTAGAAAATTTTAAAATATAAACAGAAGTAGAAAGGAAAGAGGAGAAACAAATATGGGTATACTCTACCCCATTGTGCGTATAGTATCAATGTACTCTACCTCGTTCTGTTGTACATAAAATCTTGGACCCAGCCCATTTTGAGTTGCATCGTAGGCGATCGTCCCATACATCTTGCAAGAAGTGAGGTACAAGCACTCCCTATATCACAAAAGATATATACCTCCGACTACTATCTTGGACCCAGCCCATTTTGAGTTGCATTGTAGGCGATCATCCCATACATCTTGCAAGAAGTGAGGTATAGGCACTCCCTGTATCACAAAAGATATATACCGTCGACTACTTGATCATCGCCGCGATCACCTACAGGTTGTATCGAGCAGGCATTATTGTACTCCCTTTTGGGACGGTTCCAACCATTTTTTTTATTTTGGAAGGTTTGGATTTTTTTTGCATTTTCCCTTTATCTTTTTCTTTTAGTTTATATCTGTTTCGGTTGGTTTTTCCCCTTTTTTCTTTCTTCATTTTTTTTCAATTCATGAACATTTTTAAAATTCTAGAACAATTTTAAAAGTGGGCTCCTCCATCATCAGGTCTAGTTTGTGTGAACAATTGATGTTGCGGTCTTCTCCTCTTCTTCGAGTGTGTGAACAATTGATGATGCGGTCTTCTCCTCTTCTTCGAGCTCAGTGAGTAGCATAGTGATTTGATGCCATAGAGGCACATGTCTGATGGCCTGTCGTCAGTGTTTTGTTGGCATCACCACGCCAAAATTGTTGAAGCACTAGCTTTATGAAGTGTTGTTGCTCTTGCTCGGGAGGAAGGCTTCCACAACTTGGTATTTCGATATGATTGTCTTACTCCGGTCATAAAGTTGAATGTTGCTGCTTGCTCAATTATCGTAGAGATCAAATCATTGGTTAGTAGTTTTTCTTTTGTTTCTTTTGTTCATGTAAGCCATAGAGCTAATGAGGCGGCTCATGTGTAAGCTAGATCGAGCGAACTCGTTCCTCACTCGATGTATTTTCATTGTATCCCTGGTTGTATCCAGGATCTTGTAAACTCTGAATGTTTGTGTGAATACCGGGCCATCTTTGATAAAAAAACTGAGGACCAAAAAACCTAAGAATAAAGTTTCTCGGTTCAATTCGATTTTGGTGTTCAATTTTTGGTTAAAAAGTGTCAACGACCCCTAACAAGAGGCTTTGGGGCGTGCTGAACATGGGAGGAGCATGAGACGAATTAGAGAAGAGGGAGTTTGCACTCAAGTATTAAGATGGTGGCCCACGTGCCCCATCAGGAAAAGAAAAGAGGGCGGATTGTGTGAGTGAGACCCGGGTCAAACGCAAACGGTTGTGTGGTTTAAACTTTTTGTGTGTGTTCTACATAGGAAACTAAACACGAGCACTCATTATGAAGTATGTCCTCTTTCCTCGTTGAAGATAATTTACATCATGTGACTTGACTTGCGGAAGAAAGTGATTTTCCTGATGCATGTGGTTTCCTAGGATCTTACAAGAAAATATGGTTTATTACAACTTTGTCGCAATGCATGTGGTTTTCTAAGATCGTATAAGAACACATGTTTTGCCAAACTTGTCATGCCCTATCCCAAGCAAAAGATTCACATCCTATAGATTGTGGACCATTTACAAATGTACAAGCACTCACACGTGACAAATATTGTAGCATCATTATATCAACATACTATGTTGTGAGATCCCGCAAGGTTGCAACAGTTCACATGGGCTTCTGTTTCGATGATACACACACCAAATGGAAGTTGTGGGACAAAGTTGCCCGATCCAATTATCTCGATATTCCAAAGCTGTTTTCAGCAGTCATCTTCTCATTGCGAGGAGTCAATATAACTCGTCAGCCAATTCTCCGATCAACGACGAGATGATATCATTCTCTAGATCTGCGGCTAGTAGATTCTTTTCGTCTTCTCTGAGGCATCTCCACTGCTCGATGGACGCAACCTCCATCTTCACCACTGTCCAAATTGGTCTTAATGAACAATTTTGCCCATCCAGCCATGCTTGAGCGGTCTCCAACAACACCTTTCCTCGGCCTAGATTTCTTGGGGTTTTATCGCCGCGAAAGAAATCTACCAGAAGCTTCTGAAAGCAGTGGCTGGACCCCGAGGAGCTTGCTTCTAGGAGGTCTAGTATGCCCTGTGCAGAAGCATCGTCACCGTCTTCTATGGAATCTGTTTCTAACATGTTGTAGCTCACATCCTCCGTGGTCGTGGTAGCATCATCCACGTCGGATACGTCTAGGTCGCCTAGCTGCTCAAACTGCCGGATTTTTTGAAGCAACTCTTGACTCGCTCCTACACATCGTAAGTATTTAATCAGCGGTTGATGTCGAATGATTTAAAAGATGGTGATTGATATTATGAGCTCTGAAATAGCTTGCATTAGAAAAAGGGGGCACTTATAAACTAACATCTGCTCCATTGGTAATGATCAACAATATATAGATAGATGGTCCATTGTCACCGGTTCATCTTAGAACAAAAACTTGGTGAGCACAGAATAGTAGTATGTCAATGGTGAAAACCCCATCGGGTGGCAACATGGCATCATTGGCATGACAAATCACAACAAAACACAAGATATTGGGCGTACATGGCCCATAATTATTTGGCATTGCCAGGCTGCTAGCTTAATTTTCACATTCTTTGGGTAGCCAAAACTCTAGAGAATTAGAGTCTACGTACCCTTCGACCATATTACGGCATAACTTAACACATAATGAAGTCAATCTAAAGCTAGCCAACCTTTATTTATTAAGGGCATCTCCAAGGCTAGTCACC